TTCATAATTTCTGGTTACCAGAAAAATGCTGTGGACTTCAAGTTCCTGACTGCTCTTACTTCTCCTCTGTTAAAGGGGCTGGAGTTTGGGGAGCAGATATCCAATAAGACAGTGCATCCCATTCTGGACTCTATTTCAATGACCAAATTATAAGATTTTCTCCCGCATTGTTTAGAGTAAACATTTTTAGTGTATCCTTCTCAAAATGACTAAATCCTTGAGTTTATCATCTGGAGAGCATTATCCATAACTAAATTCCATAAGATATATTGTTGCCTCTCTTGACACCTTCCGTGAGAGCCATTTTCAGTCTTCTTGGAAAGGCATGGTTATAAGTGGGTAATGACAACAAAGAGTTGATAAATAATCTTTAGTGATAGAGAGGGCCTTGAGTCTTGATTAGTTTCATTCTTTTCCTTCCACTTTTCTTTCTTTTCCTTTCCTTTTCTTTCCTTCCTTCCTTCCTTCCTTCCTTCCTTTCGTTCTTTTGTTCTTTCTTTCTCCCTTTCTCCCTTCCTTTCTTTCTCCCTTCCTTTCTTTCTCCCTTTCTCTCTTTCTTTCTTTCTTTCTTTCTTTCTTTCTTTCTTTCTTTCTTTCTTTCTTTCCTTCCCCCTTCCCTTCCCTTCCCCTCCCTTCCCTTCCCTTTCTTTTCCTTTCCTTTCTTTCTTTTCTCTTTCAGTGTGTGTGATGAAACATATGCTTACCAGTTTTGGTGAACATGGCCTCTGGGATGAGACTGCCAGGTTCAATATCTACTTACAACATGTTAGGTGTTGGGCAGAATACCAGTGTGTGCATTGTTTGCCTTATTTGACCATGAATAACATCTACTTTACAGAACTAAATAAGATAATTTATACTTAGTCTTTGGCACAGTGTCTCACTCATATTAAGTGCTAAGTATTGGCTACGATCACTGCACACGGTATGGATTCTGGTTTTATATTTTTGTCACCAAGTCTTCATAAAGTTCTGTCTTTGTCTTACATTCCTTATTGTAAATACTATATAAAAATATTCTTCTCCAGTCTTTTCCCAGTGCCCCCAGTTGTTAAACCCTATAAGGCCAGTCCAAGGACTGCTGCCACTTTTCTTTATGTAAATTGCCTTTTGAGCTTCTTTCATTTCATCAGACTTACTCATTACAATGCCACATGTAGGCTCATCATGTATAGATGACTCCCTCCTCCACTGCCATCTCTGTTCCACAGCCACTTAGGACCCTTCAATAGCCTATGTCCCAAAGACTGCTATCTTTGACTCCCACATCTCTCTCTCTCTCTCTCTCTCTCTCTCTCCCTCCCTCCCTCTTTCCCTCCCTCCCTTTTTGTCTCTCTCTCTTCCACAATGGAAGAACCAATCTATTTCCTAGAGAAACATCCCATAATTCTGATGGCATGAGGGGAAAGGTACACATATGTACATATATTAGTCAAACGATCCTGCCAGATATTACTTGGCCTCAAAACGCTTTTTGAGTTCTGCTGATAAAGCATCCCAACATAACTATAACACAGAGTCAAAGAGGTCGTTTCTCACTTCATTCCTGCTGCTGTTTGAAGGACAGGATGAGTTTTCTTCACTCTTGAATTGTGTATTAACCACTGTATGTTTGTTGAATATGCAATATTTATATGGCTACAGTCTACCTATCCTCTCAGTTATTAGTAAATATGTTAGTTCCTATACATGGAGGTTCTGTAATGATAAATGAACTAACATATGAATGATAATTATACCATTGGAACATAGCAAAAATTCAAAAACTATATGATCATTAAAAGTAGATATTGGTTTTGGTTATTGAAGCAGTGGTTTTGTTGTTATGAAAATGAGAAAATTATAGAAACATTTTGCAAATGGAAATTTGTTAGAAAAGCATCCATACTTGACATGTAACCTTATTAGCAGTGAATCATTCAATCTAGGCACCAAAGTGAGATGAAGAAGACACTGAAAGCCACAGTTACATGATATTAACATTCTAGTTAAAATGAATTTTTCTCAAAACTTGTTTCCACCCTAATATCTAGAGTCTTGGAGATTGGGGGAATTTTAAAATATTTATGGAATGGAAATGACCTCAACAGCCCTCCTCTAATGTTTACTGTGAAAACAAGAGGGCATTTAAGGGGAACTGAGGTCAAAGAAGTGCAAACAGGATCTGACTATAGTCTGCCATATTCTCACAAATTTTTATTTCTTTTTTTATTGTGTTACTGGATCGCTAGATCCTGCTTACTCACTTCTTAAAATTACATTTCCCTTCATTTATCAACAGTGCTTCTTGAAGATGTTGTTAATTGACAAAAATATTTCTGAATATTCTTTCTCTCAAAATGTTAGTAACCTGCATTAATTCTAGTGAAAATTCACTTTTGCTTCATAAGAAACAATTTCAAGTGTTTCTGATATAATAGTGTATATCTGAAAATTTATAAAATACAGAGTAAAATGTTTCAAATACTTCCTTTCCCCCTCTCAATTACTAAGAAATAAGCTATAGGATCCTTTGAGTATACATATATTAGAGATCACTTCAATCAGACGTGTTCATATCTTCACCACAGTTACTCATGGAACCTCTCTGGAAACTCTTTCCAGAAGACAGAAGCTAAATTATTATTGTTCTAGAAAATCCAAGGGAATATCAGGTGGACTTGATAAAGTGACCTTCACTGTGAATTACATAGATAGGAATAATAATATATATTTGAAATTATACAGGATAAGATGCAAGGTGTGACACTCATTTATTTTCCCTCAGACGCTTCAACACTGAAATAGATAATAGCTATGTAAACTTGGAGTGACTAATATTTACCAAACAACAGCAATTTCCTCATATTGTGAATTTTCATGTATGTATATTACACATAGAGAGAGAAAGGATCTTCCATTCACTCTTCCCATACTCTTACCAAGCTAGATCATTCAGTTTCTGTCAGAGAAACGGTGTTTAGGAGCAGAAATCAGCTTTACACACCCAATGTGAACCCAGGTAAAAATTTCCAAATGGCTGCCTCTGAAAGCTCAAAGGTTCCATGAAGAACAGTGTAGAGAATGCAGTCTCAGGTTTACCCACATTTTGCTGAAGTTTCCTAAAACTTCACCTTAGTGGACATGCTAAAAGCTCCATCTCTCATGAGTCATATGGGGAAACTTTCATTCTTGCCCAAACATAGCTGGGTTCTCAGCATGTGTTTTTATGGTCTGGCTCTTTTTGATTCCAGGAAAGTAGTATTAAATTCATAAAGTGCCATAAAATCTGACATAAAACAAGAAAATCCACATTCACTGGTCTAAGTGTTTGTTCATCCATTCTTGAAGAAAATTTATCAGTATTTTGAGAAGAAAATCACAATACAATGAAAATGGAATTTCAATCTGCTTCAGGTGGATTAAGAAAGAGCTGAGCTACTAAAGCAATATATATTCAGTTTATAAAAAATTTTGAAATAAAACTTATCTTTTAGCTCCACAAAATTTAATAACTATTAAATATTAAAATATGTAGGAACAAAATCCACCAGTTGAAGCTTGCTTTTAATAATGGTTAAACTTGTGAAACACAAATGCAAAGGAAGGTAAGAAGAAAAGATGAAGAATAAAAGAAAAAGAGAAATGAGAATGAAAGGAAGGAAAGTGAAAAAGGAGAAAGAAGAAAACTATACATATTAAAAGAAGAGTATAAATATATATATTTCACTGGACCATAAACACCTTAAAAATTTGAAAGAGTAGAAATCATATAATGTCTCCTCTTAGACCACAATGTAATTAAAATAGAAATCAGTAAAAGAAAGATGTATATTTGGGGAGACCCAAAATATATAGATATTAAACAATATGCTCCTAAAGAAAACATGGGTCAAAGCAGAAATCCTAAGAAAAATTAAAAATGTTTTCAACAAAATGAAAATGAAAACAAAACTATCAAAATTTGCAGGATACAGTGAAATCAGTGTTTAGAGGGAACAATGCATAACAATGAATACATATATTAGAAAAGAAGCAAGACCTAGAATCAATAATCTAAGCTTCCGTCTTAGGAAACTAAGGGAAAAAATAAGGACAGATAAAATCCATGGTAAGCAGGAGGAAAAAATAAATTAGAGGAGAAATCCATGAAATTGACAGCAGAAAATCGATGAAGTCAACAAAACTAAAAGCAAGAAGTTGTCTGTCTACAATATCCAATTAGAAAATATATTTTATTTCAATAAATGTGAAAATATAAATTTTTCTCTAATAAAGTTATAAAGTACACAAACAATATAATACAACTACAGGCCTTACTAAAATATATAAAATAAAATAATAAAATAAATGGAACTCTCTTGGTGTGGGTTCTCAAAAATTAATAAGATGAAGTTTAAGAACTTTAAAATAAAAAATTGTTTTTATTTAATCATTCCTTAAAATAACATAACATTTTAACTTTTCATCAGGAGACAAAACGATTAATACAACATTTTGAGAAAAAAATAAAAGATATCTTTATTCTCAAATATTTAAATATAATATAAAATTAAATAATGTGAGATGCAGGAAAAATAGTAAAATCAATAGAAACCTCAAAAGCTGATTTAATTATTGATATTAATGTGATATAAAATGAAGATATATTAAATCAGTGGGGAAAGAAAATAATATTAAGCAATCTGGAAATTATTCGTTATCAAAGGTAAAAAGCAGGTGCAGATAATTCTTCTTTTCTTTTAGAGAGAGAGACCACAAGTCGGGGAGAGAAGCAGTTGGAGAGAGTGAGGGACAGGTGGAGAGAGAGAGGGGCAGCGTGAGAGAAAGAGAATCTCAAGCAGGCTACACACTCCATGGGAAGCTCAACACAATGCTTGATCCCATGATCATATCTGAGATCATAACCTGCGCCTAAAGCAAGCGTTGGACACTCAACTGACTGAGCCACCCAGGTACCCCCAGATAATTCTATTTTTATGAAAAAACAGAGCAAATTTAAGATCACTCTTTTTTTTTTTTTAAATATGGAACACCTTAGGAATTTGTGTGTCATACTGGTGCAGGGGCCATGCTAATCTTCTGTGTATAGGATCATTCTTTTCAAAGTTAAATATGATAAATGAAATAATCAAACACAGGAAGAAAATAGAGGTAAATATCAGAATAAGTATTTATTCATCTGAAAAGATAGTAGAGATTGATGGAAATGACTACAGAAAAATAAAGTATTCTATAAGTCAAATGCATCATAAGGAAAATGAGAAGTAAGTAACAAACTGGGAAATATATATAAACAAATTACTAATGCCCTTAATAACAACAGGATATTCAAATAGAAGGGAAAAGGTTAATACATCCAAAATTTAAAAATAGTTAAGGCACTTGAACTGGAGATTCACAAAAAAAGAAATACAAATGACCAATAAACTTAGGAAATTATTGTCAAAGTGCAAATAATCAAAGATGTGAAAATTCAATCATTAATGAGATTTCCCCCATTTTACTATTTTACTAATAATACTAATGAAGATTAATGTGTGTATACATATATAGATACATATATATTATTCCTTGATTGTTAAGGAAATTATATTCACTTAAACTGATAGTATGTAACAATTTTTCAATTTCCCTGGAAAATAACTTGGCAATATGAATTGAAAAATCTCAAAAACAGTGTGCGTTTGTTTTGAACCAGTAATAGAAAAATAATCATAGGTGTTCTTACAGTTATGACAATGAAGAGTTGCAGCCAATCTAAATGTCCAAAGAGGAAATTGGTAAAAGAAATAGTAGTATAGGTATATGATATACAGACATCAAAAATATTTAACCTAATTATGAATTGTTCATGATGAATTGTTATTTTAAAAGGATAAGCTATAGAATGGTATGTATAACATGCTCCCAATTTAACCAAATTAGCAAAATACACACACACACACGCACGCACATAAACATGATAGTGTGTGTGTGCCAAGTGTATAAATGCATACATACAGGAATAATTATTCTGAATTTTAAGATTACAAACAGTTTTAGGTTTTATTTGTTTTTCTGTCAAAATTTTCTACTGTGGGGCGCCTGTGTGGCGCCTGTGTGGCTGAGTTGGTTAAGCTGCCGACTTTGGTTCAGGTCATGATCTCACCACTGGTGGGTTTTAGCCCCACGTGGGGCTCTGTGCTGACAGCTCAGAGCCTGGAGCCTGCTTCAGGTTCAGTGTCTCCCTCTCTCTCTGCCCCTCCCCCGCTCATGTCTCTCTCTATCTCTCAAAAATAATAAATGTTAAAAAAGTTGTTAATAATTTTACTGTGGAAAAAGTTAATTCAGACAATAAAACTTGAATTTTGACTTCAATTAAGTAAAAATAAATTAAATAAATGATTTGGTCTATGATACTGATTAAGGATAAAAAGGTAGCATAATCCAATCAAAAGTATTTGTAAAGAAGAAAACAGTTTAAAACTCTGTGACATGTTGTCTTTAAAAATATAACACATTTAGAATGAAGTGTTAAAGGAATGGCAACTTCAACTAATAGACTTCACATAATGGCTTACAAAACATGACTATGGAGTTTCATACCTTCAAAATGTAATGTTGGCCAAGTTTCAAACTGCTTCAGGTTGGTAAATTGAAAACTCATGAAAGCAATGTGCTGAGGCCCCTGCAAAAAGTATAAACCACTGATTATCGGACAATCGTTATGGAATATATGATTTCCAAACCAGTTCTTGCTGCGCCTATGTTACAGGTATTTCAGATGAAGGTGAAAGAACACATAGACATCTATAAACTCCAGCATAAAAGTGCTGAATAACAACACCAGTATCCATCGCTGCACCTCCCTGAAGGTGGGTGTTTATGAGAAATGTCCAGAGGACAAAAGGAAGGCATTGAATTGGACAACCTCCTGTTGGTAACTTACATCCTGAAACAAGAGATTTGATTACCCTTATCATTATCTCTGCTTGCTGAGCAGAGCTCCCAAAGCTATTAGTGGTCATAAAATTACCCAGCTGTTTTTTAAATTCAACCATAGTATTTGACTCAGTGACCTCTTTGGTCAATGAATTTCACAGGTTGACTATACACATTCATAAGGCATTATTTACCTCAATTTGTTCTGAATTTACTGCCTCTTATTTTTATCAAGTATCTCCTTGTCCTCATCTTATTATGGGACAAGGTTAAAAAAAAAGTGTCCTTTGTAATTTTGAATGCTTCAATCAAGGACTTTTCTAAAATACACCAGATTTTAGAATCTTTTATTAGGAAAATGAAAAATCTAGCTACATTCCATCTAGCCTCTATTAATATTTTATTCTCACCATGACTTCTTATTACTTGGGTGTGAATTCAATTTTAGTTTTACCTCATTATTCTATTTCTTTCATATTATTAACAGCACAAGAGTGACGATCATGAACATCCAGTTTTTTCCAGTAAGAAAATTCAAGTTTTTATGATGTGGAAAGATTAAACTCTTACTGATACTATGATTTTCCTTTAATTGAAGTGTCCATCTTGGTAAAATCAATACATTCAAAAATACTTAAATTTTAAGTTACCAGACCAGACTAGATTAGTATACTCTTCAATAAAGATATTTTTAGCATTACCTTTTTAAAGAAGATTCTTTCTGCTAGATTGTTCTGGAGCCATTTAGATACACCAAAATTAGAAGATTGGGTAAGTTGGTCAACTAGTAACACGAATTCATTGTAATTCATCTGAACAATCATTTGTGTTTTGAGTAGAGAGTTGCTCTCCATAAACTAGGCATATTTCTCACCACAATACTTGTAATTATAAATAATTATGCTATTTATAAAATTAGCTATTTTCAGGTATATAGTCAGGTATGATTTTTTTTACACAGTACATTCTTTCACAGTGGAAAATATTTGCAACCCCTGATGTATGTCATTATGTTCCTTCCAGGCTCCCTCATTCATGTAATAAAGACACATGAGACTAACTTACAAATAAAATAAGATGTATGTATTGAAACAATTAAACTGACAGAAGGTAAAGATTTGCTCCTCGTTGTTATTTAGCTTCTCTTAAGGTATGATCCAAGAGAACATTTGCTTGATAAAAATACAAGTTTCTGGGTTTCAGCCTAGACCTGTGGGGGTGGGACAGAGCCAACATTTTAAACTAACTCCTTATCTGTCTTCATCACAATTATCTGTAGGCCTTTTCCCAGATTTAACTTTCTCCATGGGAAAGCTCTTCCATACTCACAGCTTCAGCTGTAAAGTGGTATCTCCAGCTTGGGGTTCACTTTTGAGTATGAGATGTTACCTTCTGGTCTGTCGTAGAGATATTTCATACTCTGAACAAAGTAATTACTTCCTCCTAAAATCTTGCCTTCATCTAGTTCCATCTACTTTCCTTGAAGTGAATAGCTACATCACTTATTGAAGTGCCCAAATCAGAAACCCTTGATCATCTTTCCCCCTTTCCTTTTCCTTTTAAATTTTTTAGTAAAATGTATTGTGTTATCCTTATTGTTTTTCTTGGATTTTGTGTTTAGAAATGTACTCATCCTTAAGATCGGATATGCCATCCTGACTACATGATGAAGAATGATTGCTGAGTTTTGTGTCAAGGTTAGAGACCCAGGATGACATCATGAAACTGAAAGTGACCCTATTGGGGAAAAAATCCAAGATTTTTTTTAGCAGCAAGTTTACATAATTCAAATCATAATTAATATCAACAGAGGTATAATGAGCACTTATTGAGATTTGAGATTTTGGAAGAAATCCATTCTAAAGAACCCTAGGTATCTATAAACAAAAAAATAAGAAAGTTAAAATTACTTAGAAGTCTATGGTGTCCAATCTGCTTATAATAGTTAAATCTTATACTTCATAATTTCCCATTTATGAAAAATCTAGGTTAATATATTTGGGGAAAATTTTTTACATTTCTTTTTCCTTATAGTTAAATTAGAACTAAGTTGCTGTCAGATATATTTTCATAGAAAATAATTGTAATATTCCAAAGCTCAAAATATTCCATTTTGAAAGCTCTCATTTACTCTGCTTTTCTGAAATATAGGTTGAAATGAGACCAAAGAAAAAGTATATGCCTTTTTAACGTCACAAAGGTCCTTTTCTTCTTCATTCTCAAATGAAGCTTTCTTACTGAAAGTTTTCTTATTGCCAAAATGTCTGTTTCAGAAGAAGGGAGTGATATGTTATTACCTCAATATAAATTTTAATTTTTATTATTGGTAATTTTAGATGAAATTGTTTTCCTAAAACAATACAGAAAGGCAAGTATTCTTATCACTAATTTGGAAGTAACATATAACAATCAATGTGTTGTGAGTGTATAGTAGTTAAGAGTTTACTCTATATCAGATGACTTTATTTTTGTCCTTGTGTGTAGATTTGATGAATACTCTAAAATATGTTATGTAGTTATAATTTAATTATGTAACATTTGATGCTGATGCAGGTTATAAAGTACAATAAAAAGGACATTTATGAGTCTGTCAATATAGTTATAGTAGAGCATCATCATTACTGTGCCCCCAATGGGTGTGTCTCCTTGATCTCATCCTTCTACCTTTCCAACACAGGTAACTCCCTCTTTAAAATTGTAGTTACCATTTCTTTGCTTTTAAAAAAATAGTTTGATGATATATCACTCATCAGTTTTAAAAATTCATTTATGGGTTTCAATGGTAGTATTTATTTTCACTATAGTCTAAGATTCTGCTATGTGATAACTCCACATCTTATTTTTCCATTTTCCTGTTGATAGATGTTTAGGTTGTCTTAAGTTTTTGTGAGTAAGAGTATAATACTATGAATATTGTTGTGATACACATGTGTAAGCGTTCTCTATGGTACAAATCTAGAAGTAGAATTGCTGAGTTGTGGGGAATGAGAATGTTATACTTAAAAGATAATGTTAAATTATTTTCCAAAAGAATTGTACTACTTTAAAACCATGCTAGCAGCATACATTAATTCTCATTAATCTATATGCTCACCAAAACTTGTAATGTAAGTTATGATTAAAAAAAATTGTTTTTAACATTTATTCATTTTTGAGAGAGATAGAGTCTGAGTGGGGGAGGGGCAGAGAGAGAGGGAGACAC